TCTGCTGATATTTTGGAATGATTTTGAACCTTATGGATGGAGGGGGTGGAAAGGCCATAGTTCCATCAAAATGTTCTAGCTTGTTACCTTAGAGGAAATAAAAAGCTCTATCATGTTTCCACCTTAGTTTCTGGTGAGGAAATTTAATAGTTTAAATGCCTTTTTAAATTTCAAAATACTTGTATCTCAATTCTAAAATTTAGTGTACAAAAAAAAAAGCTAGACCAATTGACATAATGAACAGGTTATAGGCTGCAATGGAAAGATTAGGCCATCCTAAAAAAGATATCACCAGGATTTTTGAAATTTCATTTTAAATTAGCAAAGCCATTTCCCATATTCAGTTGTTTTCTGATGAGGATAAATATTTGCATGGTAAAATTAAGAAACAGTTATGATTTAATGTATGCAGTATAAACATAAGAAGCATCATACTCACAAATAGATACAGATTACTCTTACTCTGAACATATAAAGACATCTTTAAATAGATATAGCTATATAATATTGACATATTTATGTAAGAGTTCTTTACATTCTTACTACAATTAAGATTAGGACATCAACCTTGACCTTTACCCATTACAATTTCAAAAAATAAAATGAAAAAACCCTAGCCACATGCTTTTTTATTTCCAAGTGTCTTCTTTATCTTTCTGAGCTAGCTAGTTTATCTACTACAAGGCATTAATAATTTATTTCTTTCCAAGTTATTTTTAGGGTGCTTTAGCTTTATTAAGCTGTCTACCAAATGCTAAAACATTAAATAATGAGTTTTCTCTTCTATGCCTACCCCACAGATAGGAGATTTCTTGCTTCAAACCTCAGTGCACACATGTAAACACAATTACTCAAAACAAAGCAACAAGTGAGAAGGAGGATTAAAATAAGAACTCAGGCATTCTAACTCACAATCCAGCATTCAACCCCCTAGAACTTGCTGTTTTCCTTTGTCCTCTTTGCTGTGAACCAAGATACTTGTTCTTTAGCAGGGTGTTTCTGCTGCAAATCCAGTTGCTACTGCATTATGCAATGAAGTCAGAAGCCTGAGCTTGTGACATCAATATAGGTTGCTATGGTAACTCTTTCCATAAGTATTACAGGTTCATTGTAGGCTCAAAAAAGAGGACTTCAGCAGAGTAGCAAAATAGCTGGCATTATTCAGCCTAAATTACAACAGTAATTGTTGCAAAAAATGTCTTATACTAGCTATAGTAAATGCAGATTTTTATATTTATGTCGTTATTGAAAGTCATTTTCTATTTTTTTGAAAGAAATGAAAATTCTTCAATAGAAGTAGCATTGCCACTGACCTTCTGATATAACAGATCTACATGATCCAAGCAGAAGAGAGTCACACTGTAATATAGTTAATTATTCCCCATATTGTGTCATTCCAGAAGTCAAGTAATGTTATACATTATCTGTTATGAGTACATTCATAATAGCATGATTCCAATCCAGTTTTCTCATTACAGGCATTATAAAAAGGTCCCACAGAGCTGTTTGTATGAAAGCAATTTTAGATGACAAGTTTTCCCAATGAGCGTGCCTATTTTTACCCGAACAATAGAAAAGATCACCTTTTTATTGCATATGTTCATCCTTATTTCCCTGAATATTTTTGCTTATGCCTCAGTTTTAATGGTTAAGTCCATCTCCCTGTGTAGGAGACATTTGGAAATATTCTTTATCCATTACATTCTTTTAACCTGAATTTGAAGCTTGTGGCTGACAATTACAAAGCCTGGATTCCTTTCTTCCATAGCTCCTTTTTTTTTTTTTAATCATCTACCATCATCAACATGAGGATGTTAGTTCAATTCTGCAACCATGCTCAGGCTAGCCACTAGGGTTACAATGTGTCGGGCATTAGGTATAAGAAGCGTAAGACATACATGTCACGCATGTAATAGCAGCAACAACACTAACAATATTTACTGAGTACCTGCCATGTGCCAGACACTATGGTAAGCACTTTACATTCATTATCTCATTTAATCCTCACAACAATACAGGGAGAGAGGGAAGTACTTTTATCCCCATTTTCTGCATTGGAGAACTGAAGCTCAGAGGGGTAAAGTCACTTGCCTGAAGTTGCAGAGGTAGCTAGGGAACACAGCTGGCATTTGAACTTAGATCTGACTCCAAATATTTATCTTTTGACAGAAATTAAGGAAAATTTCTTGTTACTGTGTTAAAATTTTAAATTGCATCACAATCCTATTGATAAAGAATTCCTTCACATACACTTCACTGAAGCATAAAGGCAATGATAGTCTTCAGGTTGACTTCATAAACACTTTTGATGACTGACTTTCCTGTTTTTGTAACACTCAGCAGTTCAGAAAGTGTTTGCATGAAGATATTTTTATTCCCTTAGGTTATAAATGAAAATATCTCTCAAAAATATTGATCTATAACTTTTCTTAGACAGTTGCATTGATATTCTCATACACTCCAAGCTACTGGACTATCTTCAGCTCAGATAAATATATTAATAATGTGTATAGTGTAGCGCAGTTTACAAATCATACTAAACATTCACCCGTTCAGCACATTTTCACTGAGCCACTATTATGAGTCAGGCACTGTGCAAACTGTTAGATATGAAATGACAATAAAAAACTGAAATGGTCTCCAAATTAAGGAAGCATATAGTCTAAAATGGGAGTCATTGATCAAATAACAACATAATAAATGTAAAACTGGAACTGTGTCCAGACAGTAGAAAATAAGAAAGGCTGAAAATAAACAATCTAAGCAATTCAACCCTGAATGATACAAAGAGAACAGAAGAAACACAAAGAAGCAGAAGGAAGAAAATAATAAAAAGAAAAGGAAAACCTGAGGAAATGTAATGCAACATATGATGGGAACATCAACACAGCCAACTTCATTCTTTGAAAAGACAAATAAAATTGACAAACCTCTGGCAAGGGTGATCAAGAAAACAGAGGCAAGGCAAAAGTAAGCACCTTTTGAAATGACAAAGGGAACACAATTAGAGATACAACAGAGATTAAAAAGGGGATAAGATGCAATGAACTTTATGTTAATACATTTGAAAGCATAGATAAAAGGAACAAACAAAATTGATCAAGAAGAAACAGAAACTTAAATAGGCCTAGACACACCAAAGAAATTGAATTAGAAATATAAAAACTTCCCAGATCAAAAGCGTGGATGGTGTCACAGGTAATTCTACCAAAATTTAAGAATGGATAATTCCAGTCTTACAAACTCTTCTAAATAATTTTTAAAAGCAGGAACTATCCAAATAAATTATTTTATGAGTCTAGTATAATTTGATTAAAACAAAAAGCTAAACAAGAACAGTATGAGAAAAGAAAAATAAAGAACAATATCTCCCATGAACATAAATACAAAAATCCTAAATAAAGTATAAAATCCAGCAAATGTAATAAAATGCTGTATCCCTCTTTTCTTCCAAACGCAACCATTAATCAGCATTTTTGAATCTATTATTCTCCACTTCTTATTTTACATCTTAGTAATAATACTGAACTGTGGCATTTCCATGGACATACCTTACATCTCTCACCTCTGTGCCTTTCTTGATAATAAGTCCTCTACCTTGACCGCCATTCCTCGTTTAGCTAGATAACTCTTACTTAATCTTGAAAAAATCACCTCATCCCTCTCTCCTTCTGGCCAGAACCTTTTCTTATGATTTACCATATAGTACAAAGTATTTTAATGGGTGTCTTTCCCACAAAGAACCATATGGTTACAGATTATGTCTTTTTCATCTTCTAACCCTTGGCTATTAATATGTGCCTGGAATGGCACTAAATCTTCTAAATCAACTTCATGTAGTTTGCATTTCGACCACATAGTCAGTCTGATGAACTAATACAATGACCTTCATTTAGATCTTCAATATCACTTATATTTACCTCCAGTACTCAGAATGTAACCTTATTTGGAAGTAGGGTCTTTACAGAGGTAATCAAGTTAAAACAAGGTCATTAGGATGGGCCCTAATTCAATATAACTGTTGGCCTTTTACCAAAAGGAAATATGGACAGAGAGACATCTGCAGAGGGAAGACTATATGAAGGAAGAATGCTATGTAAAGATAAAGGCAGAGATTAAGGTGATACGTCTACAAGGCAAGGAATGTCAAAAATTGTCACAAATCACCAAAACCTAGGAGAGAAGCCTGAAACAGTCTACTCGACAGCCCTCAGAAGGAACCAACCCTATTGACCCCTTGATCGTAAATGTTTACCCTCCAGAGCTGTGAGACAATAAATTCCTCTTGTTTAAGCTAAGCCACGCAGTTTGTGGTACTTTGTTACAGCCCTAGGAAAATAATAAGTATCTTCAAGAAATCTTAGAATAAATCTAAGCTTCTTGCTAATGAATAAGGCAATTCCCAACACTTTCTTTCATTGGGTACCATATTGATAGAGCCAGTTCATGATAAAAATAGCTAGATCGAAATTTCACCTGTGTTTTTATAGCCTCACAGGGAAAATTTGCAAATAAATTTGTACAACCTAACACGTTGCCACCATTTGCTAAAAGAAGGTTAATATTTTTTCTGGAGAGAATGCTTTCCTTTCTTCCAGAAAACAGACATCTGATTCCTAAATGATCATTAAAATTTTTTTATTTTAGGCTTCTAAGACACATCTAAATACTCAGAATGGATTGTTTACCCATCAGTACATAGTTAAATTCACATTAAAACAGTCTCAAATATCAAAAAAGTGTTTTATTTTAACAACAATTAATAATTCATCTAATGTCTAACTTTAAGGGGTCTGATGGGAAGCATGGTGGAAGATTCTTATTGAGGTTTTGGAAGAAGGCAAAAACATGACATGAATCATAGTTAGGAATCTATATTAATAGCCACATTACCAAAGAACATACAGAGCTAAAACATTAAACATTTGCTATGTTCCTGTCGAACACTGCAGTCCCCTTTAGGGAAAAAGGCATAAATAAATGTGTCCCTCTGAACTTACTTTTTCCAGATGGGTGGAACTTGAGGGATGCTCTGAGCCAGCAGAATGGTCACTCCCATGCACCTTCAGGGGGAAACGTATGGCTTTTAGTAGAATCTAACAGAGTCACTGATCCTGTTCCTGGACTTGATATGATTTCCTTCCTTTCTCCCCCCCTTTCTTCTACTGTCCTTCCTTCCTTTTTAGTATAAACGTGCTTTTCTATTAAAGCAATGCATGTTTGAAGTTTTAAAGAAGCCCCATTGTTTTGTGCACAGAATTGTCAAAATGAAGGAGCATTTTGAAGCAGGCATCCTGTTTCTTATTTTCTCAGTTCTGAGTATGAATTTTGCAGCATAACATATTGGTTGGGTACATGTTTCAGAGTCAAACAGCCCTTGTCAAACTGACAAGATCTCTTATTAGCTGTATAGAACTTTAGGAGTAGTATTTAGCCATCCTGTGCTTCCACACCAGTAATTCAGGATGAAAATTGTACTGCCATCACATGGTCTGAGAACCAAGAAAAGATGGTACCTGAAGAGCACATAACATAGGGACAACCACCTGGTGCATACTTAATAAAGGTAAGCTAATGATTATGCTTATAAAGAAAGAAAACACCAATTATATGACATTCTGGAAAAGTCAAAACTATAGCAATGGTAAAAAAGATCAATGGTTTCCAGGGGTTTGAGGCAGGGAGGGCGTTAGGTGAGGTTTGAACACATTAAGCACCTTTTTAAGATGGTATAGCTATCTGTAGGGTACTATAATGGCAGGTGTATGATAGCACACATTTGTCAAAATGAATAGAACTTTATAACATAATGAGTGAACCTTACTGTATGCAAATTTTTTTAAAAAACCTATTTGGAGGTCAGGGTATTCCTGGATGGAATGCAGAATGTGATAAAACTAATTATATCATGAATGTATGAAATAAATATAACTATTACAAATGTATGAAGCAAACTCACTGCAGGGGCTGGGGGGAAAAGAAGACCTAAGTAAGTCTGGAAATGAATGAAGTCTAAAAGATTCTAGGCAAAATAAACTGTTATATAAGCACTGTGTGTTGGTAAAGTTGATTCTCATGAGGATATCAGTAATTTTGGTACTGCTGTACATATATACTGGAATTGAACAATTAAGTAATTAGATGCTGGATGTTGGAAGCCAGGTTTCTCACTGTAGCTGTGGGAGATTACAGATAAGAAAGAGGAGGCGGCCAGAATGAGCCATGTGGTAATAGATGAGTGCTGGAGACATCAGTATGGACGCATGTTTAGCTTGGCATAGATACAGATGATTACGTATAGAAATAATTATAGAAATATGTACATACATGGGTTAGTATATACACATATAACCCCTTGCTCTGTCAGTAGGGAGGGCCTAGAAATAATGACACCCCAGCAGCAACAAGCACACCTATCATTCAGATCTTGTTTTCTAATACCATATTCCAATTTTAAAACATCAGGGCTTCTTGGAGAAAGGCTGATTCTAGGACTGAGACAAAAAATATATACGATGATCCTAGAGCATCTTGTAGTGCCAGAAAGTAAAAAAATGCTTTTTAATAAATAATGGAGTATGCAAAGGGACATAGCAGACAACTGAAAAAGTCCCCAATTGTCAGGCTGGAAAATTTTATCAACAAAATAAGTGGCATTGGCTTATAAACCAAAACAAAAAATAAATCTATGAGTCCATACTGATATAAATAAATAATTGAAAAATAAATAAATATCAATAAATAAGGGAGAATAGACAAATCTCCCACACAGAAAAATTCCAAATAATTAGTGTCAATACTCTGCCCTCGAGGAGGTGAAGCATAAATTCCCACACGTTGGATGTGAGCTGTTCATAGTGACTTCCTTCCAAAAAGTACAGTATAGAAAAGGGGGAGAAAGAGCAACTTTATAGAAAAGAAACCTGGCACACTAACTCAGCCAAGTGACCAAGGTAAACATGGACAGTAATAAGTCATGTTGATAGTACGTACCATTGACATGATGTGATGAAAATGGCACTTTACCTTTTTAGTCTTCTTCCCAAAAACCCACAACCCCAGTCTTATCATAGAGAGAACACATCAGGCAACTCCCAATTGAGGAGCATTTTACAAAATACTTGACCAGTACTTTTCAAAACTGTCAAAAGTCACCAAAAACAGGGTAAGTTTGATAAACTATCACAACCAAGAGGAGCCTAAGGACACATGAGGACTAAATATAATGTGATATCCTGGAGGGGATCCCCAAAGAAGAAAAGGACATTAGGTGAAAACTAAGGAAATTAGAAAAAATTATAGACTACAGTTAAAATAACATATCAATATTGATTCAAAATTGCAAAAAATAGGGCTTCCCTCGTGGCGCAGTGTTTGAGAGTCCGCCTGCTGATGCAGGGGACGTGGGTTCGTGCCCCGGTCCGGGAGGATATATGGGAACTTTGTAGTGACTTAATCTGTTTTAAAATTTAGAATTTGTTTTAAAAAAGAAAAAAATTAAAGACAATTATATTGAACCTAAAAACAAAAACATTAACCAGTATTACTAAGTATTATTTTTTTTAATTCGGTAGACAATTAGTACAGGAGATACCTAGCAACTAGTAGGATTTATAAACTTGAATGTTTAAATCATTACTCCAACTAATCCTGATCTAATTATTATACTTGATTCAATTCACGTTGAATCTCTTCTCAAAGTGAGACCCTCCTCAAAGTTCACCTGTTATGTTCAGAACCTTTACCACCCACTTTAATTTGCCTACAAGGAAATCTTACAGATGTCAGTGGCTTTTATACTCAACCTGCAGTTCCTAACACTCTACTCCATTTTTCAGCACTCCTTGATTTATAGATCAAAGGACAATTTGCCCTTTTTAATCCAGTGAAAAACTATTTAAAAAGCAAGAGGTCAGTCATAAATTACATTAACTTACTAGTAACACAAATCCACACATGATGATTTTTCCCAATGTAAATTAGGTTTCACATCACTTATGTCTCCTGTGTTTAGTTCTTGGCCTTCTGAAGTCAGAGTTTACATATTTAGTTTTTTTCTCAAGTAATTCCTCATCTAACAAACTTTACCACCCACAGTAGATTTTATGTGGTACTATTTTCTTTTAAAAATGTGAAAGTGCAAAAAAAACAGTAACTTAATAGTTTTCTATATGCTCCCAGGAAGTTGTTCCTTCCCTCCCTACTGTAACACAGAAATGTACCTCTCTGAATTGAAGTATTTTGTGATGCCTATGCTTTGGGGGGGCTTGAAAGTGACTATGAACAGAGAGATGAAAAGAAACAGTAGAGACAGGAAGTTGAGCTCCGCCATCATACAGTTTTTGAAGGAGCTGTTTGCATATGGTTATTCATCCCATTTCTCTCTCCTCTGTACACTCTAGATTATGCTCCATAATCTCCCTATCAGTGTTCTCAGGTCTTGCACATGTAGAACCTGATATGAGTATAAGATAAGCATAACTTAGAATTTTATGATTCTTCACAAGGTCCTAAAACACCTAGAGACAATGGCCCTTGACTTAGATGGGGCAGGTAGAAATGTAGATGAAAAGAGAGAGACTGAGAAATTTCACCACTTCTCAAGTGCTCAAAACCAGCTCATCTATTCCCAAGCCCAGTGGACCTTCCCCCCAACACGCTGTGTACATACCACGCGGAGCCAACTTGAACCTACATTTGGAGGATATTTTACTCAGTGTGAGTATCCCCTTTCTTCCTTCTTGGTAAAGTATAAAGTGATGTGGTAAGTTGGTGATGAGCTCAGTGCTCCTACCTTGTCTACTGGAAAGAAAAAAATTTCCTCTGGTGACTGGTAAAGGGAACCAGCCTTGTGTCCAAATTGAAACTCTAACTTGAAAATTCCTCCCAACCATAGAGAATATTTGCAAACGAAGCAACTGACAAAGGATTAATTTCCAAAATTTACAAGCAGCTCGTGCAGCTCAATATCAAAAACACAAACAACTCAATCCAAAAATGGGCAGAAGGTCTAAATATACTTTTCTCAAAGGAAGATATACAGATTACCAACACACACGAAAGGATGCTCAACATCACTAATCATTAGAGAAATGCAAATCAATACTACAATGAGGTATCACCTCACATGGGTCAGAATGGCCATCATCAAAAAATCTACAAACAATAAATGCTGGAGAGGGTGTGGAGAAAAGGGAACCCTCTTGCACTGTTGGTGGGAACGTAAATTGATACAGCCACTATGGAGAACAGTATGGAGGCTCCTTAAAAAACTAAAAATAGAACTACCATACGACCCAGCAATCCCACTACTGGGCATATACCCTGAGAAAACCATAATTCAAAAAGAGTCATGTACCAATATGTTCACTGCAGCTGTATTTACAAGAGCCAGGACATGGAAGCAACCTAAGTGTCCATCATCGGATGAATGGATAAAGAAGATGTGGCACATATATACAATGGAATATTACTCAGCCATAAAAAGAAACGAAATTGAGTTATTTGTAATGAGGTGGATAGACCTAGAGTCTGTCATACAGAGTGAAGTAAGTCAGAAAGAGAAAAACAAATACCGTATGTTAACACATATATATGGAATCCAGAAAAAAAAAAAGGTTCTAAAGAACCTAGGGGCAGGACAGGAATAAAGACACAGATGTAGAGAATGGACTTGAGGACACGGGGAGGGGGAAGGGTAAGCTGGGAGGAAGTGAGAGAGTGGCATGGACATATATACACTACCAAACGTGAAATAGCTAGCTAGTGGGAAGCAGGGGCATAGCACAGGGAGATCAGCTTGGTGCTTTGTGACCACCTAGAGGGGTGGGATAGGGAGAGTGGGAGGGAGATGCAAGAGGGAGGGGATATGGGGATATATGTATACATAGAGCTGATTCACTTCATTACGTAGCAGAAACTAACACAGTATTGCAAAACCATTATACTTCAGTAAAGATGTTAAAAAAAAAAAAAAAAGAAAATTCCTCCCAACCAAAATTCCAGCCTGCCCAAATACAGTGTGGCTTCTGAGTGAAATGGAAAAAGCAAGTGGAGCCAATTT